ATGATTTAAACCTGCAAAATCTGAGACGACAAAAGTTGGGAATAAGCTATAGGCTTCTCGAAATTGCTCTTGTTACGCATGTTTATCCCAGACGTAAACACTGGTAGGGGACCATAGATCTTTTCTCAGGAGCCACCAGCAGCTGTGAAAAAAATAAAACCGAAAAACAACATGAAAAATGACATCCGGTTCCCAAAAGTAACTACTGCTAAGCAGTCTCTCCAGGCCCGATTCCATCCCATTTCCAGAAGCGATGGCACCATCGAGCAAATATTTGCATAAGAGCGAAAGCTGTGGTCGTGAGATAGACAGATGTGGGCTAACCCATGGCACCATCGTGCAAATATTTGCATAAGAGCGAAAGCTGTGGTCGTGAGATAGACAGATGTGGGCTAACCCTGTACGGTTCAATCAGACTGATGTGGCGACCAGGTCGTCCTTCTACATCAAGAGGATAGACAGGAATTTCGTCGATGGAAGAATGGCGTGACATCGCGCGACCACAAATTGACCCCCCGTGATACTTCCGCTGCAATTCCTATGAAAGAGAAGATAGACAAAAAAACGTCTGCAAGCAGCTCAGTCGTGATAACGTTGGAGGAAGAGAAGATAGACGGAAAAAAAAAACGTCTGCAAGAAGCTCAGTCGTGATAACGTTGGAGCAAAAGCTATAAAACCCAAGCTACTTGCGAATTGGGGACCTTTATTTTGGATTAATTCGTTCCCAACTACTAGCAGTATCATACTTTAAGGTTCGGTTACATCTAGGCCGTACATGACTTTAACAACTAAGTTATAATATTTTATTGCTGCCTTTCAACGATTGACTTACTAGCTAATCGAGCGAGAGGAAAAAAGTGCTGGCCAGCTACCTTCACTGATTCAAGCAGACCTCTGAACAAGGAAATGGATAGAAACTTGCGCAGTGGTCGCGTATATAGCAGTTCTTTCTGAGAAAACGCTTCTTAAGAACTAGGTATTTCCAGAAGTATAAACCAACCTAAAGTTTGAACACCATTTGAAGATGTTATTGAGCCTTTGCTCGGATCCAATAGAACCTCAGGGAAAATAGAACATAAGAAGAATTTATGATCTCAAAAGATAGAGTTCATCTTTTGATTTATTCAAACGAAGAAAAAAAGCAGGAAGTGAGGCTGATGTGAGAGAGTTGCCAAGTGGCGCCAGCGACGGTAATTAATCACCAACACCGTCTCAAAACCACGTGCTTTCTTCAGTCGAAGGACGGATAAAGAACACCTCTAGTAAAAAAAAGAGAAGAAAACGCAGAACTTGCTTGGGCGTGGAAAACATCAATACACATAAAGTGATGAAGAAATATGGTTATACATATAGTGTGAAGCAACAACTACCGATCAAGAGTTCCCAGAAAATTGCTATTTATGACAGTCTTTCGAAGAAGTTTTTGGACGCTTAGTGTCTGAAAATGTTCATCGCAATGAATAGGCCATCCCAGCAGTCCACCAATGCCATCAATCCTGCTCAATGTTTATTTTTGACCATATGGCTCCCAATTATTGGAAATGATATGAAAGCCAATAAGAAATGGTAAATAATTGCAAATAAATAAATGAAATAAAAAAAAACTATGTAAGAAAGACGAAGTTTGTCGCGTAATCAATATCGTTCTTGGGGTGCGCCCGGTATTCGACTTCCATTCAGAATGGTAAGATCGTTTTTGAATGCGTATGTGGCCTATAAATGACTCACGGTGACCAGTATGTACAAGTCAGTGCCCTACTCTTCCCAGACGAGTCTGGTACCACTGAACCGACCCCGTAGCGATTTAAGCCTTGGTTGGCCTGAGTGAGTACATCCAAATCCAACCCCGGCTCCTGCATACGTGATTAAATAACGTGCAAAAACGACCGAAAACGAGGAAAGGGCACAACCACCTACAGAGATGTCCATCAAACGATCGATGACTTTGGTGCGACTTCAAGAAAGTTCTCATCAGACAAAGTACCCTCTAATATTGCTGAGAACCCCTACAACAAGAGTTGTTAGATATTCTCTCCTATTCCAGAGCCATTAGCTAATGAATTATCAGCATTCAAACCTTGAAGATGATCCAAAAGGAATGGGGAGGCTTCTGTATCACATAGGAATATACCGTGTGCGCCAGCCCTAGCATTTTTTCGAACAGAAACTGGTAGTTCATAACAAGAATGACGTTAAACGAAGGAAAATCAAGAAATTGACTCAAAAAATTGCTTCAAACTGAACTACGACATAATCTGAGCAGGCATGGGGTACGAAACAACAATCGGAACTGACCATTGATCATGGGGCTGTGGGTAAACCGA